TTGATAAAACGTAATTATATTTTTATTTAAATTAAATTAAATTATAAATTGTGTGTATAATTTTAAATTATGCGTCAATAATAAAATAATTAATATTTTCTTTACAATGAATACAAATTTAATTATATTAATAATTAATGTTTAATTATTTGAAGATTTTTTTTTTTTTTTATTATATGTAATTTAAAAATAATAATTGTTTTAAAGAAACATTTTTTTTTTTTGGTCTCATGTCATAAATGCATTATTATAAATAACATATTTTATTAATTAATTATAATGTGTGTGTGTGTGTGTGTGTGTGTNTGTGTGTGTGTGTGTGTGTGTGTGTGTGTGATATTACTGAAAATAATATATTTCATTTTATTTTTACAATTAAATATAATATATTTTATTTATTCGAACAGTTATACTTCCAAATAATTATACTTTCGAAAATAAAAATATATTATTAACTTGTAAAAATGATTTAAAATAATATTTCAAAGATATTTCAATTTTACAAGATAATAAATATTAAAATTTAAATTAATTATTTATCCTATTTTTTTTTTCACAATATATTTTAGATAAAAAAAAAAATAAAATATATAAAAACGTGGGATTATCATATGAAAAATTCATTAACAATATATTATTTAATGTTTATTGAATAGTATATATTTTATTTCATGTAATTTTCATAATTCATTTTCTTAAAAATCCTATCACAATTTTTGCAATATTATTTTAAATATTATTTTCAGTAATATTACTTTATTTTTTTGTGTTTGTTATATGTGACAACATAATTATGAAAGCGATCTAAGTTAAAATTAAAAAAAAAGAAAAAAAATTGAATTTATTAATTATTCCTCACCACATTATTATAAACTAAATAAATTCAACGTAATTTGAAAATGATATTATTATTAAAAATTAATCGTTAGACATGACTTAGACCCATAAAGATATTACAGATAAAGGAAACAAACCATAAACGGTTGTGTAAGTGGAAATGGTATCTCTGCATGAATATAGTAGGAAAAAACGAAAGGTTGATGTTGTCTCTCTCTAACTCATGCGATACACAAAAGACTCGCAAGTTAGAGAGAGAGAGAGAGACAACATCAACCTCCCATGTTGTCTATCTCTTTTTATTTAGCCGACAGCTTTTAATGCTGGCTTGTTTAATCTATGTGAAACGAAAGGTTGATGTTGTCTCTCTCTAACTCATGGGGTACACAAAAGACTCGCAAGTTAGTGAGAGAGAGACAACATCAACCTCCCATGTTGTCTATCTCTTTTTATTTAGCTGACAGATTTTAATGCTGGCTTGTTTAATCTATGTGAAACGAAAGGTTGATGTTGTCTCTCTCTAACTCATAAGGTACAGAAAAGATTTGCAAGTTAGAGAGAGAGAGAGAGAGAGACAACATCAATCTCCCATGTTGTCTATCTCTTTTTATTTAGCTGACAGGTTTTAATGCTTGCTTGTTTGATCCATGTGTAGTATCACTATGCTTAAATATACTTTCATAATTATAAACACATATACATAAAATTATTTTATTTACCTTCTCATTCGAGAAAAAAAAAAATTATTACCAACATTAATTAAGAAAAAAAAAAAAAAAAGAAACAAGAATAATTTCAAAATATTCAAACTACTTATATGAAGAAGAAGAAGAAGAAGAAGAAGAAGAAGAAGAAGAAGAAAAAAAAAAAAAGGAACTATCGTTTATTCAAAACATCGTCAATTGAAATATAAAAAAATGATAACACATATATATGTATATAAATATAAATATAATAAATAAATAACAATAAATAAATATATATATATATAAGAAAACAATTATATTATATCTATACGCCAATTATAAAGGAATAGTAAAACTATATGTGAAATTAATTCGTACTATATATATATATAATATATATATATATATATATAGTTATACATAATAAATCTAAAAGTTAATTATTAAATGAACATATTAAAAATTAACAAATTTTCACAAATAAATATATTCTTCTCATTTAATTATAAATATTTCTTATTTTATCTACAATAAGATAAATAATAATATTTATATATGATTAAACCACTTTGATCATTTTATATTGTTTCCCTTATTGTTTTTTTTTTTATTTTTTTTTTTTTATTAATATTTTCTTATCTAAAACAATATATTATCAAAATATATTTTCAATCGGATCATTGCAAATCATTATATTTAATAAAAACATATAAAAATTACTATCCTTCAATTTCCTAATCAGGCTTATTGTTTTCTTCTTCTGTTTTTTTTTTTTTTTTTTTTTTTTATATATTTTATATTTTAATTCCATATCAATTGTGTATAATTAAAAATGTATCTTTTTTTTTTTTGTTTTTATAAATATTTTCGAAAGAATGAATGTATCTTTATTCTATGATACCATATTAGTATAGTAATCATAACAGAAATTACAAAACAAAAGAAAATATATAAAGCACTTGAGTAATTAGATTTACATTGAAAATCATTAAAGGTCAATTGATACAATGGAATATTCATCTTTTGACATGTTACATTTTCCAAATCTTCATATAAAAATCTCATTGATTGTACGCATAAATAAAAATCAATAGTATGACAATCACATTTAATTGGATTTCCTCTTAATGTCAATTCCCTCAATAATCCTGTTTTAATATAATTTATTGCATAAAAACTAACTTCTGATATATCATTATTATGCAATTCTAATACCTAAAAAAAAAAAAAAACACACAAAAAATATATATATACATATAAGTTCATTTTTAATATATTTTATAATTATATTATTATTGTTATAACACATGGGTTGAAAAGTCCTAAGCCTAACACATAAATGACGCCAGTTTTATTGTATTCATCTCATTTTCAGTTAGTATTAACCTTTCAAAGATATTTGTATAAATTTCCCAGCTGTCGAGTAGTTCGTTCGTGAGATTCGTAACATTTTGATTGAAACACCTTTTGTTATATTTCAACAAGATTTTCGTGTGTTAATAAAACATTGCTTTTTATTGAAAAAAAAAATACTGTTGAAGCTAAGGTTTGGCTTGATAAACATTATTTGAACTCTTTACCAAGAAAATCAATCATTGAGAAGTGGTTTGTTAAGTTTAAATGATGCGAAATGAGGGTCAAAGATGATGCACGCAGCAGACGATCGAAGAAAGAGGAGGCTGTTACTGACGAAAACATCAACAAAGTTCACAAAATCATTTTGAATGATCGTAAAGTAAAGTTGATTGAGTTAGCTGAGACTCTAATAGATATCAAAGGAACATGTAGGACATATAATACATGAATACTTGGACATGCGAAAGGTGTGTGTGCAAAATGGGTGCTGCGCGTGTGTTCACAATCGATCAAAAAAACAAAAAACAAAAAACGATGGCAAAGTTGTATGAATTGTGCTTCGAATTGTTTTCCCATCCACCGTATTCTCCAGATCTGACCCGTCAGTGTCTTTTTCCTATTTGCAGATATCTCAAAAGAATACTCGCTGGAAACAAAATGCAGCACTGATGAAGAGGTTATCGTTGAAACTGAGGCCTATTTTGGAGACAAAAGATAAATCGTTTTACAAAAGTGATATTGAAAAGTTAGAATGACGCTGGAATGATTGTGTTACTCTTGATGAAGATTATATTGATGAATAAAGTCAATTTTAAACGAAAAAAAAAAAAAAAAACAACTTGTTTTCTTTGTTAGGCCCGAGACTTTTCAGCCCATGTGTTATATCTATAATAGTAATAAAAATCTACTAATAAAAAAAAAAAACAAACTTACTTGAAGATATATAGGTATTTTTTCGAAATTCAATTCAGTAATATTGTTATTAGATAATAATAAAGTAGTTACATTGATTGACAATAAAGGTTGTAACGATGGTATTTCCTTTAAAAAATTACCAGTAAGATTTATTATCATTGGATATTTACCCACGAAGATAACTTTAGATTGATCGATAATAAAATTGTTTAATCTTTTATTCGAACAATCCATAATGCGTGTCAAGTCAGATAATCTTATATTACAGATACAATTATCTTGACAAATACCATGACTACCAAAATAATCATTCTCCGAACATAAATATGTACTTGTATGTAATTGTTTAATCTTTGGTCCCAATATTCCATTTTTATTTATACACGACATATCATTGATTATAAATTTGAAATAATTGTAATAATAATTGATTTCTTTCTTTTCACGGGTACGCAATAAACCATACAAATGACAATTGCATAATATTGGATTACCATCGATTAATGCTATTATGTCACGTTCGATGTTTAGAAATTTGGACACACTATTGTATTCTATTAAAAATCTAATATTTTTTATTTGATTATTTCTCAGATCTATTGTTATTCTGTCAGATGGGATTAATAAATCATCCGCCAATAGGTCAGTTATATTGTTATAACTCAAATCTAATATTTGTAAATATTCATCATTGAACGGCCAATCGGATATAAAACTTTTGATATTATTGTTAGATAAATATAATTCCTTGAGATAAGTATTATTATAAAATGGATTCAATTTGAGAATTGCCATTGAATTAAAATTGATTCGATTATTAGATAATTTGGCAATGCTTAATTTTTCCAAATTATAAAATGCCTTTGGTTCGATCGTTTTTATTTTATTGTTTTCCACGATTAATGTTGTCAATGATGTCAAACCATCAAATAAATTATTTGTTATAACAACCATGTTATTTTTCGACAAGTCTAATGTTTCCAAATCGATCAAACGTTTAAAAATAAAATCAGGAAGATTTTTAATAAGATTGTTACTTAAATCGAGACTTTTCAAATATATTAATTCTTTGAAAAAATTCATTGGCAATGTTTTCAACAAATTGTCATTAATGGCGATAATCTTGATAGATATCGAACCCCAGAACAAATTTTCCGGTAATATTTTCAAACCATTATTATTAATATAAATCTCTTGTAGTAATTTGAAATTTGACAGAAAATAATTTGGCAATGTATTCAAATGAATTTTGTTATGATGGAATAACAATTTGAACAATTTGTGATTATCGTGAAACAAATTTGACGGAACATAGGTCAAATTATTATGAGATATATTAATCACTTCCAATTTGCTTAATGGAGAAAATATGTCTGCTGATAAACTAGTTATATTATTAATATCTAGTAACAAATATTTTAACGATGATAAATTCTTGAAAAATGTGTCTTCCAAATGTGTCAATTGATTACCCATAAGATCTAAAAATTCTAATTTCTTCAGTCGAGAAAATAACAAACTGTCCACTTTTGTTAATCCATTGTTAAATAATTCAATTCGTGTAAGATTTGGAGTTGAATCAAACAATTGATTGTTCAATATTATTCTATTATTAGATAAATCAATCCATTCCAATAAAGGAAAATCCATAAGTAAATCTTTCGTTAGATTGGTTAAATCGTTACCAGATAAAACTAATGATCTCACTTTTGGAAAACCAGCAAGATGGTGTCTTTTTAAATTTCCATTAAGACTGTTGTAAGATTTAAATCTTAATTCATCCACTTCTTGTATTCCAAACAAATTGCTCACATCTTTCAAACTAATTTTATCTGATAATCCGCAATTTAAAAATTGTAATGTTTTGAGTTTCCCTCCTGCTACATTGCTCTTGAATTTAAAACCTTCCCAACCATCCCAACCTTCACAATTAATCTGTTAAAAAATATATGTATATATATATAAATATATGTATATAATAATTATTATTATTTTATTAATAGATAATTTGTATTTATTATTCGCATCAAACGGATGATACGCGTAATATTAATTATTTCACAATGAAATTATAAACAAATAAAACAATGCAATCTTTTATCTACCTGTATATAATCAAATGATTTAATGTTAATCGTAAACCTGCTATTTTTAATACCAACAGTACAAGTAACATGAAGCACCTCGGAATTTTGAGAAACACATCTACAATGTGGATTGTTCTGGCACAAAAAGCTAATACTGTTGATCGTTGTGAAGGTAAGGAAAAATATCGTCAACAATCCGATTTTCAACATCTTTAAAAAAAAAACAATTTCTGTCTATGATGAAACATACGGAAAAAATTACAAATTAATCATATAAACAAAATGAATTGAAATTTTATTTGTATTATTATTAAGATATTATTTGTATATAGTATTTATCGAAAATTCGAATCAAATATTTTACAGTAACGATTTCAAATAAATATAATCACGTCTTCTGATTATTTACTTCTGTTAATTATTATACTAACTTTTTTTTTCAATTTTGGAAAATATTGGATGTAGAAATGAATTGGTTTCTTTTTTGTTTTGTTTCGATATTATATTAAAAATATAATTTGATTGATTTAAATAACAGACACGTGAGATTTACTTTGTAAATAAATATTCCATTTTTGTCAGTAATGCCAACGAATTCATTTCTACACCTAATATTTGTTTATAATAAATTCATAAYGAATATTGTGAATATATCTATATATATATGTCGTAATTTTACTTACTCTAGTATAATTTAAACAATAATTTATCTTCCTTCGTTATCTCTTCTTTCAATCGTATTTAATATAAGTTTGATCACTAAACGATTTCAAATTATTCGAAAAATATTTGTCAAACGAATTAACTATAAGAACACATAAGATTATTTATTATTATATTTATAATATTATTACTCGAAGAGGTCATACATACGATACTTCTTGTACTGTTGTTAATTTGTTTATACTTTGATTTTCTAACAGAAACTCATGAATGTTTCTTATGAATTTTATTAAACATAATTCTTCATATTTTCTTTTCTTTTTCAATTCAAATAAATTCTATAACAATACATTGTTATATTTATTATCTCTATTTTATTGTTATATTATATCTACTCTAATTTTGAATTTAGCCACCAGATAGCGTATTCAAGCGCTAGAAATCCCAATTATTAATAATTTAATTGAAATTTATGTTATTACATATATATTATATAAAAAATAATAATAATAATATTTATTCTATAAAAATATGTATGTGATTATTCAAATTTTTATAAACCAATCAGAACACCATAATACTTGTCTTACTATTGGTTAGAATCATTTCATAAAAATAAGCCTTAAAGTTTTTTAAATGAAAACTTCCACATCTTAACTACATGATCAAACAGCTGTTCCATTTTATATTAAAATGCTTTTACAGCAATACACGAGGCATAACCTGCTGTTAATATTTTGTACAACTTTTTCAAGAGTTAATCTATTAAACACGTGATATTAAACATGGATAAACCAGTTGTATTAGCTCGAGTAATTAAAATATTGGGTCGTACTGGTTCACAAGGACAATGTACACAAGTAAAAGTTGAATTTTTGGGTGAACAAAATAGACAAATCATTAGAAATGTTAAAGGACCAGTACGTGAAGGTGATCTCCTAACCTTACTGGAATCTGAAAGAGAAGCAAGAAGACTCAGATAAAGCATTTTATCTTTATATTATGTTTAAAAGATTACCAAATATGAAATCACATCATTCCAAATACTTCTTTTGAAATGGATTATTAATCTAACTGTCACTGGAAGAAATCTAATTGTAATTACTGAAAATAAATATTTATAGATCAATGACATCATGGATTGATCTAACTTTATGTTCAACTTTATGTATATTCATACTATGAATTCTGTAATAAATCTTATCTGGTAATCATCTATATTAAGTGTTTGTATTTTTGTTTTATTTTTGTTTTCTTCTAAATTTATCTTAAACTAAGAATTTATTATTAAAATATAATAATATAAAAATACAATATATTATATATACAGTACAATATCTCACTAATCCGGCACTATTAAAAACCAGAGGGTGTCATGTACACCCTCAACATAATATAATGTATGTATGTATATATTTGTGTTCTTGTTCGACAGGTTTTATTGTAACTGTCACATATCTTTTTGAGGTTAGGGGCGAGAGTGGCGCGGCAGGGATATGCCGGATTACTGGACGTATCGGTCTATTGAAGTGCCGGATTAGTGGGATTATACTGTACTATTTAATATTTTATGATTATCAAATTATCCCATTTTTTAAATATTTATGTTCAATTTGCAAACTATTTAATTAGGTTTGTAAATGACGAATATATCATCCGAACTTGTTGCCATTGATACATTGACAACTTGGATTTATTCTACTGCATTCAATATTTCAACAACAATAGCAACAACAAATGATACGAATATTTGAAATTATTAATATATTTTCATATAAATTATAATAAATTATTTTATATATAATAGAAATGAAATTGTACATATTTTATGAATCCTGAGAAAATTGCAAAAGTAATAATGTTCAGGACTTATTATAATTAATGTTTTTTTCTTTTTTTTTTTCTATCGTCCTAAATACATATTTATAAATAACATTTATTTGTCCATTAAATAATATAAATATATATACGTATATACATATAAATATATAAATATATATATATAATTCTGAAAATAATATATTTCATTGATTCATTGATAATACTTAAAAAAAAAAAAAGGAACATACATATTTTTTATTTGTTCGAAATATACATATATATATATATATATATATATATATACATCTTCGATATATAAAATATTTAATATTGTTCAAAAAGTTTTAATTTTTTGAAAATAAATAAATATTTTATTATTTATCATAAAAAAAAAATAATAATAAAAAAAATATGTTATTACATGTTGAGACAAATTTGTTTGAAATAATATTTAATAGGAAAAATGTTATTGAATTTTAACTATATAAAGATTTTCCTATTTTATTTGACATATTATTTTCAGAAATATTACTCATTTTATTTTTTTTTTCTTTTGTTTTGTTTCTTATTTGATAAATTATTTAATCATGACTTTCCATTTAAAATAGAAAGACCTTATTATATTAATGTTTCATTCTCATTCGTGAAAAGTATTTGAAAAATTATTGTTAACATTAAAAAGAAAATAATTGAAAAATCATTTATCCTGACATAGTCAGTTGGAATATAACAATATAATAAATAAATAACAGTGTATACGAGATAAATAATGTTCTGATAAAATTAATAATAAAAAAAAGAACAGAAATCACATAGCAAAGATTAAAAAAAAGTTGTTACAGTACTGTTGTCTCCTCTCTAATTACATCAACTATATATATATATATATATATTCAACAGTAAAAATATATATGTAGTATATAATCTGTTATTTTCTTTTTTTTTGTTTTTACATATATTTCAACAAATAAAATACCTATCATAATTGAATTATTTCATTTGTCATATTTTAGTTAAAAAGATAATCTTGAATTTCAATAAACATATATAATATTTTCTGATTGAATTCATTGTAGTTATCACATATAATAATATATATATATATATATTTATAGAGAGATTACTATAATTTGATTTTATTTTGTAGCTGGATGTTCCATTGAAGATGATCTTCCCACTCGAGATGACACAACCTGTGAATATAGAATTGCAAATTATATCTTTATTGAAGATAAATCCCATGAAGATTGTGTTAAAGACGTTACCACTGGAGATTGTGTATCAACTGGAGGTGTATCTACTGAAGATTGTGTCTCAACTGAAGATATTTCTACTGGAGTTTGTGCATCTGCTGGAGATTGTGTATCAACTGAAGATGTTTCTACTGGAGATTGTGCATCAACTGGAGATTGTCTATCAACTGAAGATGTTTCTACTAGAGTTTGTGTATCAACTGAAGATGTTTCTACTAGAGTTTGTGTATCATCTGGAGATGTTTCTACTGAAGCTTGTGTATCAGCTGGAGATTGTGTATCAACTGGAGATTGTGTATCAACTGGCGATTGTGTATCAACTGGCGATTGTGTATTAACTGGAGATTGTAACACTGAATCCCTTGTAGATGATACAAAAGTTGGAGTTGATACATTCATTTGAGAAAGATCATAAGGTTGATACAATCCAGGTACATCAGAATCTTCTTGATTTATTGCAAATATTGGCGGAAGTAATCCTTCTGGTAGTATATTATACTTTATAATTACATACTTATAAAATAGACTCAAGATTATCATTATAATGAAACACAAAGCTAAAGCCCTAGTGCCATGTAAAAAGATTTGAAGTAGACTAATGCACAATTTGTCTGGTTCCAATTCATGGAAATATCTGTTTCCGTCAAGGCATTTTATTTGACGTAGATCTTCATTAAAAACACGAGGTAATAGAACGTATTCGAGAAAATGTTTATTTACGCAAGAACATTCAATTGGATTTTCTGCTATATAGAAACTTTGTAAAACAATAATATTCAAGTATTCCAGTACCTTTGAACCAATTACTGATATATTATTATGAAACAAGTTTATATCCTACAAAGAAACAAAAAGAAACAAAATATTTCTTTAAATATCTTCATTCAAATGTATTCAAAATAAAAAATAATAAAATAAAATAAAAGAGACAACACACACGTACTCTGAGACTCATTGGTAATCTTTCAACTGTTATTTCACTGATATTGTTATAGGATAAGTCTAAACCTGATATGTTTAAAGATTGGATCTCTGGTATTTGCGTTAAATTATTTCTAGAGAGTATCAATACCAATGAATATTCATTGGCATTGTAAATTTTCTTCTGATCAATCTCAAATGTAGTTAAATTTTTCAAAGAACAGTCAATATAACGTGTCTTGTCATAAGGTCTTATAATACAATCACAATCACTTTGACAAGTTTTATTAATGTTAAAATAATCGTGCTCTTGACACGTATAATTCTTATACTTAAGTTGATTAATTGTTACCTTCTTACCATCAGATTTAATACAACTTGACTCTCTTAGTATAATATTAATGTGATAAATAAAAGAAGGCATTTTTACAGCATAATAATGTAAAAGATCGATCAATTCACAATCGCATAACAAAGGATTATGTTCAACATAAAGAATAACGTCTGGTATATTATACATCAATGAACGTTCGTATAATTCTATGTAACCAAATTTAATATTTTTCAATTTATTATATCTCAAATCAATTTGAATTTGTCCTGACGTTTCAATGAAATCAGTTATCTATAAAAAAACAAATACAAATATCAAATCGAAATACTTTTGATCTTATCCGTCTTCAATTAATTAATATTACATTTTGGATAATACATTTACCAATATAGATTCTATTTCGTTGTTACTCAAATTTAATAATTTAAAATAATGATTGTGTTTATACCAATCGGAAAAATACGTTTTTATATTATTGTTCGATAAATCTAATTCCGTAAGAAATTGATTAGTATCAAATGGAGACAATTTGTTATCTGTATAATTAAATGTTAACTGATTATCAGACAATCTAACGATACTTAAATTTTTCATATACATAAATGACGTTTCATCAATTTGTTTCAATTGATTTCTTTCCATATTTAATTCGATCAATTTTTCCAAACTTCTAAAAATAAATCTAAAACATATTCTATTTTTAATAAAAAGAAGAAAGAAAAAAAAAACAAGAGAGACTTATGATATATATATATATATATATAAATTGCACAATAAACGTACTTCGGTAAAGAAACCATTTTATTTCTGGACAAATCGAGTTTCTCCAAATGAAACAAATCATCAAAGATTCCGCGAGTAAGTGTTTCAATTAAATTGTTACTTATTTCGATAGTCTTAACATTCTTTAGATCTTTAAAAATATCTCGAGGTAATGTAATCAGAAAATTATCATTCAAGTTGATATGTTTTAACGATGATAAATTTTGAAAAAGATCTTTTGATAAATACATTAATCCATTCATCTTAAAACAAACTTCTTCAAGTTTATTAACACTTGACAAAAATTTATTAGGAAAAGTGGCCATTTCTAAGCTACTATTGTACAACAGTAATCGTTGCAATTCTTTATTCTGATTAAGTAAAACCGAATGAATGGAAGAAAAATTATGATTAGAAATATCAAGTGTATGCAATTGTCCTAATCGATAAAGCATACTACGTGGTAGAACATATGAATAATTAGCGTTTAAAGTCAAACATTTTAACGATGTTAATTTGTCAAACAATCTACCATCAATTTCTTTCAATTTACTTTCCTGAAGATAAAGATATTCCAAATTGTTTAAATTATGAAACAATTCAACTTGTATCGTTTCAAATCCATTTTCTACTAAATCGAGTCGTTTTAAATTTGGAATATTTTCAAAAATATCTATGGGTAAAGTAAAATTATTATAATTTAATCCAAGCCATTCCAATTTAGGAAATTCCAAAAGCCAATCCTTTGTAATATTGATTAATGTATTTTTCTCTAAGATTAATTTTTTCACACTTGACAGTCCATAAAAATGTTCTCTTTCTAATGTTTTTGTAAAACTTGAAATGGATTCTAAAACTAGATCAGTTGTTTCTTCCACTCCTACTTCTTTCATTACATCAATTAAATTCATTTCTTTTGACAATCCGCAACTTTTCAATTGCACCCTTTTGATTATCTTCTCGAACGGTTTGTTAGTGAAATTAAAATCTTGCCATCCATTCCAATTATTACAAATAATCTGTTAATTAATCTTTCAATTTGATTCGTCAATGATTCATTTCATTCTCAACTTTTTCAAATAATAAAAAACAAATAAAGTTATATACCTGTAAATAATCTTCTGATTTATACCAGACATAGATATACCTATTATTATTAAAATTGCAATTAATTCTTATCAAGTCATATGCTATTGGAATACAATTACAATCTGGATTGATTAAGCATAAATGATTAATACTGTTGATCGTTGTAAAGGTAAAGAAAAATATCGTTAACAATCCGATTTTCAACATCTTTAAAAAAACAATTTCTGTCTATGATGAAACATACAGAAAAAATTACAAATTAATGATATAAACAAAATTAATTGAAATTTTATTTGTATTATTATTAAGATATTATTTGTATATAGTATTTATCGAAAATTCGAATCAAATATTTTACAGTAACGATTTCAAATAAATATAATCACGTCTTCTGATTATTTACTTCTGTTAATTATTATACTAACTTTTTTTTTCAATTTTTGGAAAATATTGGGTGTAGAAATGAATTGATTTCCTTTTTTTTGTTTCGATATTATATTAAAAATATAATTTGATTGATTTAAATAACAGACACGTGAGATTTACTTTGTAAATAAATATTCCATTTTTGTCAGTAATGCCAACGAATTCATTTCTACACCTAATATTTGTTTATAATAAATTCATAATGAATATTGTGAATATATCTATATATATATATGTCGTAATTTTACTTACTCTAGTATAATTTAAACAATAATTTATCTTCCTTCGTTATCTCTTCTTTCAATCGTATTTAATATAAGTTTGATCACTAAACGATTTCAAATTATTCGAAAAATATTTGTCAAACGAATTAACTATAAGAACACATAAGATTATTTATTATTATATTTATAATATTATTACTCGAAGAGGTCATACATACGATACTTCTTGTACTGTTGTTAATTTGTTTATACTTTGATTTTCTAACAGAAACTCATGAATGTTTCTTATGAATTTTATTAAACATAATTCTTCATATTCTTTGTCAAATTGAAAGAAATTTTATGTAGAAATATTTTATATGAAAAACATAATTTTAAAATTAATATTAAACTTATGATGCACGATCGAAATAAACATTTAATATAAAAAAATTTCAAAAAGAAATTTAAGATTAATAATTTATATTAAAACGTACGTTTAACCATCATGAATTTTAAACATAACCTTGTACAATAAATCATTTTTGTAAACACAGAAAATTTAAATTGTTAAAATGTGAAAAAGAATATATATATATATATATATATATCGTACTTGCTTCGGCAGTACATATACATATATATATTTAATAATAATAATAATAATAATAATAATAATAATAATAATAATATAATATAATAATAAAGTAATATATATTACTATATTATATATATATACACTGCGTGTAAAGAGAATATATATATATATTATTAAAATGATATTTATTATTATTCAAAATTTGATTTTTTTTTAAATTTCAATGAGTCTATGAAGAAATTCGTCAATGATCGGAGGACTTTCATTTTTAACAAAATTCAAACAAAAATTATTATTTCAAGAAAATAAGAAATTGTTCAATTCAAATATTTTCAGAAGACGCGGAACTGTCATCGATTTTACGAACGACGTACTTCGAGTTTCTTCCTTAGTAGCTAGCTTCACGTTGCATACTTTAAGATTGCACTTGAAGACAGCTGCATATATACATTCTCTCGTTAGAATTTTTTTTTTTATTCTCTCTCTCTCTCTCTCTCTCTTTCTATGTGTCCCTGGCATACCGAGATTGGTGCATACAATTAAAGAGCGTACTATGACGACAATGATGATGATGATGATGATAATGATAATGATGACGAACGATAATTATTATTATTACCCAGTTGCACATCTAACTGTAACAACTCTCGTGTTTGAAAATTTTCTTTTAGTTTGACAACGTGTATACAAAACATACTAAAAGTTATTTTTACGAGTATACTTTTTGTTTTCTTTTTTGTTTTCTTTCTTTTTTTTCCCCTCTCTTTTTCATCGAGTCGAGGAAACATGTTTTGAGGTTAAAAAGACGAGTCCTATATATATATACAATGCGTGTACCATACGTGTACAGTATATATATATATATATCATATATAGGAATATATTTTACGTGTGTGTAACAATGCAATGGGCGAGAAATTCGTATGGTGAAAGTTTCATGGTAGCTTGTTGAATCGAATCGAAAAATTGAGTCTCTCGCTTTTCCTGCACCCTATCGACACATTTGCGAACCTGTCATGTGAGAGTTGACGCTTGAAGAAATTTATTCTAAGAAAAGTTTATATTAAGATAGAAAGAGAGAGAGAGAGAGAGAGAGAGACTCCTGCGGTTACGTTCCTATCACACATATATGCATTCGCTTTTACATAGTTATGTATGTATGAGTATGTAACAGAAAAAATCAAGGGGGATGATTTTCTACGTACGTTACCGATATCCGGGAGAAAAATGACCATAGAAACGAATGCATCTTCGTAGCCATCATCATCACCATCATCATTATTATCATCGATCATCCTTTGAAATGACAAAGAAAGAAAGAGACGGAAATAGTGTGATACGCGCGTGAAAGAAAGATAATGCACAACAATCCTTATTATTCTTATCCTTGATAGTGTTTGAAGAATAATTATATTTTGGTGAGTAATTATTTTATCAATACATTACATTCCTGTATAATAATATAGTTATTATGTATATATATATATGTATATGTATGTACATAAATATAATACATGACATGTATATATATGTAAACTATTTTTAAGGGATGTTTAAATTTTGATAAATAATCAAATTGTATATGTATAAATGTGTATAATAATTTGTAACAAATATATGTGCATATATTTTTTGGTCAGTAATATTTGTATATATATATATATATATATATTGTGTGTATATAGGTGCATATGAATTAGTATTAGTGTAGGAGGAATGTGAAAATGTTTGTAAACGAAATGACGCCTACTGATCGGTTTCATTGGTATCGTTGTTCACGTCATTTGGTTATCCTTTGAATAGATACATACTTATACATATCTTGATATCAATGATGCATACAAGATTACAGATTTTTATCACATTGGGAATATATAAATTAACACGAGTTTCTATTTATCTACTAAATATATATAGATATGTGTATTAACATAGGTATATACATAGATATTTGAAACGTGATATTGTAAGTCTTCGTACTTGGTCATGTAGTTAGTGATCCTTTTTTGTATGTACAATGTAATGTCTGGAATTGATAAGTACCCATGTCATTGTGTGTATTCTTTCTCTTTCCATCTATCTTTATCTCTCTCTCTCTCTCTCTCTCTCTCTCTCTCTCTCTGAAACATTTTATTAAGCTTCATTTGATTTCCTGTTAGGAGAGTGTGTGTGTGGGGGAGACGAATGAGAAAATAATGGCAAACATTATTTGTGCGATACGTTTCTTCGTTCACTCAGAGATTTATCCTATATGTATATATATATTTATTTATTTGATATATTTGATATATTTCTATTTCTATTGTTTCCTGTTTAATATCAATACTTTCTCTTTTGTTTTAATCCTTCTACATTTGTTCTTATTTTCTTGTTTTCATTGTTTTGTAAAAAAAAAATGTTTCTTTTATCTTTAAGAGAGTGCAATGTTTCAAACGATAAGGAAAGTTATTATTACGTTTTACTTGTCATAGAAACAAACACTTGTTTTATGTTATTAATTTGGTATTATCATTAATTAACAATATCGTTGTTTGTGTGTGTTTGGTTTTTTTTTTAGTTAAGTTTGTAGTCTTGAGAAAGTAACTTGTTAATGAAATTTAATTGTTTATTTGTTTAGGGTATTGTGGTGGAGTAGTGAAAATGGCAGACGACGAAGGAACTGAATGGTTGCAAGAGCTTTTGCACGATGTACAACTTACCCAGTTCTTTACAAGAATTCGAGACGATTTGCAAGTTACTAGATTGCATCATTTTGATTATGTACAACCAGAAGATTTAGAAAAGATCGGTTTAGGAAAGCCAGGAATTCGAAGACTTTTGGATGCTGTTAAAAAGAGACGTAATACTCAATGGAAAAAGAATTTAATTACTAAAATAAGACCTGGCAGTAGTACAAAGAGCAATAAACGATCTTCGCAGCCTATTGAAGAATCTTCAGTGCTTACTTGTCTTATTCAAGACAAAGATGTTACTTTATCGATTAAATTAGGTGACGGTAGTTTTGGTGTGGTTAGACGAGGAGAATGGGTATCTCCTTCTGGTCGAACATTACCAGTTGCAGTGAAAGTTTTAAAAGCTGATGCTTTAACACAACCACGCATTATAGAAGATTTTGTATCAGAAGTTCAAGCGATGCATACTTTGAATCATCACAATCTTATTAGGTGATGTTATTTTGATTTTTTTTTAACAAACAAAATCATCATTATTTCACAATCTAATACTTCATTGTATTTCAGGTTATACGGAGTGGTATTGTCGCAGCCTATGATGATGGTAACGGAGCTTGCACCTTTAGGAGCTCTCTTGGATTATTTACGAAAGCAATGTGGCCGTATATCAGTTTTAGCTTTATGTAATTATGCTTTACAAGTAGCAACTGGTATGGCATATTTGGAGGCCAAACGTTTTCTTCACAGGGATCTAGCTTGTAGGAATGTTCTTTTAAGTACAGTAGATAAAGTGAAGATAGGTGATTTTGGTTTAATGAAAGCTTTACCTCAACAAGAGGATTGTTACGTTATGACAGAACATAAGAAAGTGCCGTTTCCGTGGTGTGCTCCAGAATCTCTAAAAGCACGTTTATTTACTCACGCTTCGGATGTATGGATGTTCGGTGTTACATTATGGGAAATGTTAACGTTCGGAGAAGAACCATGGGTTGGATTAAATGGATCAGAAATTCTTCGAAAAATAGATAGAGAAGGTGAAAGATTACATGAACCAGAAGCTATGCCACCTGTTATGTATGATTTGATGTTACGTTGTTGGGCTAGAGAACCTTCGGAAAGACCTAGCTTTGCTTCATTGAAAGAATCCTTAACTGGAATGGTACCATCGGTAATGAAAGCATTAAGTGATTTTGACGAAGCTGACAAAATGAATATCGAGCAAAGTGATCAAATCGTTATTATCGATGGTAGACCAGAAAATTATTGGTGGAAAGGACAAAATCAAAGAACTTATCAAGTTGGCCTATTTCCTCGTTGTTTGGTTGATCCAATGAGAAAAAAGCAAGCAGAAGATATAAGTAAACCTTTAGAAAATTCTTTCATACATACAGGACATGGTGCTCCTTTTGGAAAAAGTTGGGGTAGTCCTATTTATATAGATGATGTTTATCTTCGAAATCCAATGGAACCACCGGACATTGTTGCTGTTGCTGGAGTTGCGGATAATCAAAAGAAAAAGTTTTCATGTGGTACACCACGTTCGCGTAAACAATTTAATTATACAAAATTACAAAACGATATAAGGGCTAGTCCTGTTAAATCAAGTGTTCCTGTACCTGGTACCAGTCAAGAAGGTAGTCTAATAGATTTATCACCAGAGGAAATAAGTAATACAAATTCACCTCAATCTGATACAACGTGTCGACGTGTCATTAATATATTAGATGAACCTATCGAAACGGTTGAAACAATAACACAAGAGGAACCTAATCAACAAGAGGATCCTAGAACATATGCCAATTTCCCGGGTAATCTAGATCCTAATTATTCTGATCCATTTGATACTTCTTCAGTATTTATGAAACCACCCCATTCTCGATATTATAGTCATGTACCATCTGATTTGACTAATCACTATAATAAAACTCAATCATATGGAAATATTCATAGTGAAGAAGGTAGCAGTAGTAGTAGTAGTAGTCAGAATATTAATGTTAATCAATACTCTTCGAATTTGAGTAAGAATAGTATAAATGAAAGTGTTAATTTAAATGTTAATGTTAATGTTAGTGCAGAAGCCAATGCTTTCGCAGAAGACCATTATAGTGAAATTGATAAACTTCAAAATCCGTCTGCATCCAATTGGACGAATTGGCCAGAAGACTTGCAAAATGATCCACAAACTTATGCCAATGTTATAAGTCATAATTTAGCTACAACTTCTAATGGACAACCATCACCACCACCGCCACCACCATTGCCACCTCCCCCACCTCCTATAGGTCCCAATGAAAGTCCACCTAAACCTAAATCTAATCATGATCTTGCCCAAAATTTAAGCGAATTAAATATAACTTCGCACAATGTTGCTTCGCCTAAAAAGTTGGATCCTGCGTTTCTCGCTGAATTAGAGAAACATTTGGGAGAGAAAGAAGCTAGTAAAAATACTAACGCTACTCAACAACAACATTCTAATAATGAATCACATACGTATACATTGATTAATAAATTACAAGATAATTCAACTATACCAACACTACGACCACCACCGCAATCGATAAAACCAAAATCTCCGCAATTGGATCAAAGAACAACGAGCACGCATCTACCAAGTAAAGTGCAAAATTCAATGCAGTCGAAAAATACGAATGTTCAAAAGCCAATGGTACAACAAGAGCATCGTTTTGTGGAAAGTACTACCGATGCCATAGTAGGACAAATGTGGCAACAAGCGCATTCTCAGGTGCATCTGCAAAGTAATTATTCCGTATCAACAGATCCAAATGTTAATCGCATATCACCGGTGGTAAATATGCCACAAATAAATGTTAATTTACTTCAAGTAGCGCCTAGTAATCTAATTCATGCTACTAGTAACTTGAATAGCTCACAGTATGTTTCAAAAAGTGCCACAGAAACAACTTCCAGTCATGCACAAAATTTTACATCTACAAGTCAAAATTACTTCCAGCAACAAAACATGCCACTTTTAACTATAAGTCGTAATCATGGAATAACTCAAATACAAAATGATTTACAACAAGCACAATCTAGTGCTGCCAGCAATACTAATACCATTTCAAAGCCTGCTATGTTTACTACTGGTACAATGTTTTCCGAACAAGTATATGTTGAATTGAAACAGACAGTACCTAATTTAGAACAATTGTCCCAAAATGAATTTAATACCCTTTATAATAAGACTGTTCAACAAAATATACTCAGAAATTATTATGCTTCCGGTGCAACACCAACTAATACTATTGTGGATCAAAATCTAAGTCATAGTCATATAAATTATCAAGATACAGCTAGCTATAATGTTCAACAACAGCAACAACAACAACAGCAACAACAACAACAACAACAACAAATTCAAGCTGCCCAAGGATCTCGAAATGCACTTCAAAGCCATCCTTGTGATTTTAGTCCACATTTAAAGCAACCACCTGTATATAATCCACCTCCTGCATGGAGTCCACTTAAATCGGTGCAAAATGGTTTTATAAGAAATCAAAATGCTGTCATGAAATCAAATTTAACAGCTAATCAGGCTGGAAATCCAAATGTATTACAACCTGTACATATTAAGCCACATCAAGTTAATGCTGCTACGTCACAATCATTACCAATTCGTAATGTACAACAATCTCACATGAATGAAACTGTTATTAATACTCAATTAGCACCTTCCACATCGGCATATCCATCTGGTGTTAGTCCACCTTTGACAGGTGCTTCACAACAATTAGTTATGTCTCTCAATGATGAATTTCGTGCAACTAAAGTAATGAGAGTACAAAGAGATATTGAAAATGCTTCACAACAAGAAATTTTAGCTGCATTACAAGCTACTGGATGGGATACTGCACAAGCAGCTAAACAAATTATGAAAGACCGATTAGTTAAAATAGAATCTCTTAAAAGGTTACTTTTTATATCATATATTCATTATTATAAAATACTGATCGCAATGTCTATTATTAACATAACATTGTTATTATTTTGTTATAGGTTAGGTTTGGCAGATAGACAACAATGTGAAAATGCTCTTAAGCAGACTGATTATGATGTAGAAAGAGCGGCATCTTTTTTATTAGATCAAGCTAAATAAACATTTCAATTAATTTGGTAAATGCTAAAGATATTAATACGAAGAAGTATTTCATCGAACGAAAATACAGTAATTTCAGTTATGCGAATGCTTATAGAAAAAAAAAAAAAAAAACATTATTTATATATTACATATGAAAAATCACAAATAATTGTTTTACTAAAGAGTTCGTTGATCTGACATTTAGAAAACGTTGCATTCCAATATACGACGATAATGAACAAATTTGAAATATGCAGTTCTACTTAATTGTACAGCAAATGGCCAAATAGTGAAAGAAAAATGTTTTTATTGCATTAAGAGAAAGATTAATAATTGCATAATGTTTATGCATAATAATAATAATAATAATAATTCTATTCAGATATAGACAAAACACAAAATGAAACAAAAAACAAAAAAAAGATATGATGTGTTATGATGTCTTTCATCATATTATTTTGAATAATATATATATATATATATTAATAATCGTGTTAATTACAGAACACATAACAGATATACATTTTCCAAGAAAGATAATTCATTATGCTCAATGAACAGTCCCTCAAATGAATTTTTTCAAACTTATATATTTGAATAGTTATAAGATAATTATTGTATAACCTAACTTGTTTTAAAGTTAGACACATTATTTGATTAATTAATAAGTTTTATCAAATGGTATTGTTGCATTGATCCTTTCAAAAAAAAAATTATATTAAGATAAAGTGGTTTTTCTTTTTTTTTCTTTTTTTTTTTTTATCAAGTTCATTGATCACGAAGATAAAAAAAAAAAAAAAACAGTGTTACGGAAAACATTTATCTGAAACTGTGATATGCGTTACTAAAGGCACTTATAGGTGGTATTATTGANAAAAAAAAAAAAAACGAACAAACAAACAAACAAACAAACAAATAGTATTCTTCTTCTTTTACTTCTTTCTTTATTATTACACAAATATGAGGAACAGTTATTATAAATAATTTGTTGAGAATGAATCGAAAGAAAAAAAAAAAAAAAAAAAGAAAGAAAATAAATGTACATAATAATTAGAATAATGATTAGAATGATAAAAGTGTTTTTCTTTTTTTTTTTTTCTTATTTAAATGTCCAATGAGATATTTTTTCGTGTGTCTCCATTTCTATCTTGTGTATTTACGTAGAAAACTCTTCTTACAATTGATAATAATAGCGATAGACATATTAGAATTGGCAATAAGTACAAAAATTATAAAAAAGAATAATATGAGATTAACGATGAATAAGAGAATCATTTTTGTGTTTCCCATTAAATAATTCGTAAAATCAAATGTCAATGATTTAACTAAATGTAAAGTATCTGTGCATAAAAACAAAAACCTAATGTTGTAATATAATCTCTCCATTATAATGTAATATCGCTCTCTTATATGTTTGCGCTCTTTTTATTTATTTTTTAAATACGAAATATATATATATATATACGCATATTTTATTATATTACTTTTATGTGCTCATTGTCGTTAATTTGTAGTTGGTAATAATTGGAAATAATGGACCGACCATTATTGTATCTTTAGTTTTTAATTAGTTAAGATTAAAAATATTACAATTCGTTTATTATTAAATTTTGAAGCATAATTGACGTTTGATAAATTAAATATTATTATTTAAAATTCTATTACAATTAATTGTATTGTTTATATTATATACTATTAAAGAATACTATACTTTTTCATAATATTGTATCGTTGCCGCGTTAAATGTCATCTATCGCTAACTGGTGGTCACGGTACTAACTACAATGATTTTGGTTACACGACAAGTGGATTTGTGAGCTTCTATGATACTTTTGTATTCTTTGGCAAAACAACGTTACATTCTTAAAAAAAAAAAATGAAGTGATTCCTATTTAAAGATTTATTTTCAAATAATTGTTCTTATTGTGATTACAAATTTGCTATACATCATGTCTGTTGTAATTGAAACAACAATAGGTGACATTACAGTTGATTTATTCACCGATGAACGTCCACAAAGTAAGTTTAAATATAAATTTGACTTTTTTGTTGTTGTTGTTTTTTTTTTTATCGTATATAGGTTAGATTTAACTTTGAGAAAAGAATTTCTTCTGTTTAATTAATTTATATATTATTTATTTACAGCGTGTAGAAATTTTTTAAAATTATGCAAAATCAAATATTACAATTGGAATTTGTTTCATTCGGTGCAAAACAATTTCATAGCACAAACTGGAGATCCAACTGGTACAGGAAAAGGTGGAGAGAGCATTTATGGAATAGTATTGGGTGAAAAAGCGCGATATTATGAGGCTGAACAAATGCCAAAAATAAAACATACCAGAAGTGGTTTATTATCAATGGTTAATTGCGGAGACAATATGTTAGGATCACAGTTTTTTATCACTCTAGCTCCAGATCTCTATTCTCTAGATGGAGAACACTGTGTCTTTGGTGAAATAGTTGAAGGACTTGAAATCATTTTGAAATTCAATGAAACCATTTGTGATGGAGATTACAGACCTTATCAAGACATACGTATATCACACACTGTCATTTTGGAGGATCCATTTGAAGATCCTAAAGGTTTAATAATACCAGATATGAGTCCAGAACCAACTAAAGAAGCATTGATGGTATTTAATTGTATCTAGTGTCTCATTATATAAATTCTCTACATTTTGTAATCCAATTAAATTATCAATGTTTTTACAGAGTGATAGAATTGGTGCAGATGAACTCATAGATGACACAGCTGGAATGTCAGTGGAAGAAGTTATGGAAATGCAAAAGGACAAAGAAGCTAAAGCACGTGCAACAATACTAGAAATAGTTGGTGATATACCAGATGCTGATATAGCACCACCAGAAAATGTTTTATTCGTTTGTAAATTAAATCCTGTCACTAACGATGACGATCTTGAAATTATTTTCAGTCGTTTTGGTAAAATTGTTGGGTTAGTGTGTTACAACTACTATTTTGTAATATTAGGATGATGGTTTGGAAAGTCGTTTTGTTTTTTGTTGATGCAATAATGATTGCATTAATTGATACAAATCGACAAATAATAAGACACATGAGATCAAAGAGAGATTAAATTGATCAAATTCAACTATTTATGATCACTTGAAAGGTTTAGGTTTTAATCTCGAAACAAAAATTGTCTTTTCATTTTTACAATAGAAAAATGAAATTACTTACCAAACCACATAATATTATTTAGTTCATTCATTTATTTATTTGTCATATTAAAATAATATGTGTGTCTTTTTTCAGATGTGAAGTAATAAGAGATCGTCAAACAGGTGATTCATTGCAATATGCATTTATCGAATTTGCTGAACGTAAGAGTTGTGAAGAAGCATATTTCAAGATGGACAATGTTTTAATCGATGATAGAAGAATACATGTTGATTTCTCACAATCCGTAGCCAAAATGAGATGGAGAGGTAAAGGAAAAGGTATTAAATATTACGATAAAGAAGATGAAGATGAAGGAAATGAGAATAGAAAAGGAAAGGATCGTAAAGATTTTCTAAATAAGAAGTACAATCGTCAAAATAAACATTATCAACAAAAACAGGATAAATCTTTTAAGAGAAACATGAATAATGAAAGAAGACGACCACCTGACGACAACAACGACAATAATGATGATGATGATGATGATGATGATTTATTCGAACATAGAAAACGTCAATATAGAGAAAATGATGACAGAAATGATCAAAAACGTTCTCGCAATAATAAAAATTATGTTTCAGAAAAAGATAATAGAAAAAGAAGAGAGTACGATTCGAATGATCATAGAAGATACAAGGATAAGGATAAGAACAAGAAAAAGGATAAAATTGATAGGAGTAATAGGAGTAGAGATAAAAGTAGAGAAAGAAATAGGGATAGGAGTAGAGAGGGAAGAAACAGAGATAGAAGTAGAGAGAGAAAGAGAGAAAGAAGTAAAGACAGAAGTAGTAATAGATATGGTGAAAGAAGCAGAGATAAAAAACGTTAGTTCAAATTTTTCATATATGTTTAAGAAATAATTTCAATATTAAGTATATAATAAGTACAATTTCATGAATAAAAAGAACAAGAACAAAAAAACAAAAAATGTGAATAATTGTGATAAACACAAGTGATTTTTCATTTTCCAATCGTATATCATCTGTTATTACTATGACTTACCGTACATTGGTAACACTGTTTGCAAGTGTTGCTGCATTTGTAAAGAGTACTACTACGTCGAGTACGTTGACAGGTCGTGTGTTAATATATTTATAATTTATATTTAAACTTATGTGATTTTTCGACACGTTATAATATTCTTGAAATACTGTTTCAATTTTTCTATTATCGTTGAAAATTGTTTATTCATTTATTGGTGAGTAATTTGTCATGTTATTTTCATGTCACGTGTGTGTGTCTTTTAAGGTTATAATATCTGATATTATGTGTATATTTAAAATAGATAGACACGTAATTGAATTATTCAAATTCGTATTTTTCTTTTTCTATTAAAAATAACAGATGAATATTACTTATTATTTATTGATTTTGTTATTAATAACATTTAATAAAAATATTATCTTTATACTCTATGCTGCGTCAAATAAACACACGTGAAGTTTGCCGTTTCATTTGCGCGCTAAATTTGAATGATCGCAATCGCGCGCACGCTTAACTTCATTCAAAATCATTTCTTTTGTTGTTGTTGTTGTTGGTTGTTTTTTTTTTTTTTTTATGATATATGCATAAATATTATAATGGGAGTTTCTCTTGTTTACAGAATTTTATTATTTGCTATTATATATCATGAAATACATGCGTTTATTACACGTGTATACGTTAAAAAGTAAAATCTTCGAGTCTTGAGTCTCCTATTTTTTTTACACGCTCGTTGTATGATCGTGTGTGTGTGTGTGGGGGATGATTGTGATGGACAAAAGGGGTTGAACAAATGTTTAATAAACATAAAAAAAAAATATTCATTTAATTCCACTCGATACTTTCTAAAGTAAACAATTAATTTTGGAATGAAGAAAAATCAAAAAAAAAATTCAATTTCATTTAATTTCTTTTTTTTTATGTTTATCATGTTTCTTATATGTTTGTTTGTTTTTTTTTCTGTGTTTGTTTGTTTATAAACGTAATTATTGTATATAAGTACTGTTAGATAGATCTACATATAACGTCATCACCATTACGCGTTTTATTTTTTTCCATCATTTTATTTTATATTTCCTTTTTTTTTTCTTTCTTAAAATATCTCTCAAAGTAGTACCATATAAATTTTGAGAAAAATCATGAATATTTAATTTTAAATAATAAAAAAAAGCGGACATATTGTTCACTTTAACATACGATACGATTATCTGTATATATATATATATATGTATATTTGTAAACATAACGTTGTACATTTGGTTAAAAATCACTAACCACCAGGTACATCACGTGTGTTTGCGTGTATGTTTGTAGTATTACGTGTATGCATGCATGTATGCATGTATATATGTATGTATGTATGTATGTATGTGAATAAATGTAGCATTTATTTTTAAACCAAATAAAATAAAACAAAATAAAACATCAAACTATTCAAGTGGGGATGAGTTAAAATGTATATATGTATATATTATTTTTAGTAAAATATGTGTGTACACGTGGTGTATGATGTGTGTGTAAGAGAGAGAGAGAGAGAGAGAGAGAGAGAGAGAGAGAGACAGAGAGAATATAAACATTGTAAGCTACGACACAAAAGCGAAACAAAATATTTTTTAAAACGAAGACGAAGACTTTATAAAAACAAAAAACAAAAAACAAAAAAGATAAAAAAAAAAATAAAACAAATTAGATACTAAATAAATAGAAAAAGTAGTACGAGGACACATAGGAAGAAGACTAAGAAAACATTTGTTTCCATTTCTATCTCGAAGAAACAAAATCAGAATATTAATAATAATAATATTAATTTTATAATAAAAATGATTCATAAATAATTGAATGAAAGGGTGCAGGTAAACCGGGCTGGCTGTTTTTTTTTTTGTTTCATTTTCTTTTTTTTTTTCTTCTCATCGTTCAACTTATTTAGTTAGATTTATCATATTAATTATATTACATAAATAGGGTGGTGTTTGTGTTCACGTAGGCGCCATTATTTAATTAAATAAAAAAAATAAAATAAAATAAGGGGCAAATACTTTTGTGAACAAACATACAGCCTTTCCTATATTTGATATTATTTTTGTTGTTGTTGTTGTTGTTGTTTTTTTTTTTTAAATTTGAATACTAATCAACTAATATAATTTAATTTAATCGTACGTATATTATTATATTGTTAATCAAAAATAATAATAATAATAATAATAATAATATAATAAGTATACTGATATAATTATCGCATAAAAATACCTTAATTAAATTGTTAAGAAATTTTATATATATATATATATATATATATAAAACTAAAATACTTTCTATTTTGCACACCTTTTGTTTCTTTCTACTTTTGCACCCTTCCTTCCTTGCATAATCTTAAAAACTAACCAATAAATACAGGGTTCGCCATTTCCACGGATCGTCGAATATGGCACGTCGAGGACACTCCTCCACTCTTCAAGAATTATTTATACTTGTTTCTTATTTATTTTTTTTTTTTTATTATTATTATTATTTTTTTTATTTGCAATCTTTCTTATCTTTATATCTGTTGTTGTTGTTGTATCTTTCTTTTTCTTTTTTTTTTTTTTTAATTTCATTATATTTATTTTCCTATTCTTTTTCTAAATTAATGGCCCAAATTATTAATTCAAAAAACTTGTCTTAACATTAGATATTCATTTTTATTTTTTTTTTTATTTTATGTGTTTTTTTAATAACCTTTATTAATAACTTAACCAGTTAAGTGCGTTCGACACGTGTATACACGTCGGTACAAATCTCTCTACTGCGGTGCATTAGACGTGCATACTCGTCGTGTAAAATAACAAAATTACCATTCACTGTAAAAACTCGAAATGTAAATAAGAATATTATTTGATGGTGTATATGTTCCCTTTATATATTACCAATACAATCTCTCTATGTATTTTATTTAGATTTATTTAATTTATTTTGTTATTTATAAGATGTGCCGCGTTTGCTT